AGAGACCAATGTGGGGCTCGAACTCCCGAACCGCGAGATCATTACCTGAGCCGAAGTCAGATGCTTACCCCACTGAGCCACCCAGTTGCCCCTTAATAATTTCTTAATATCAAATCAGAGTTCTAATTCATTTTTAATAATGTATTTAAGTTTGAATACCTGCCCCCAGGAATTTGCTGATTGCATCTCCATGGAATCAGTTCGTGTTTATCTCCTATAATAGTGTAAACTGGTAATTAGATCTGGAAGTTTGATCATATTCAGGTTTGATAATTATTATTATTTGGCACAAGTAATTCATCGGTGGTATGGTATAGGAACGTAGGATAGCTTTTTTTAAAAAAATAGGTTTTTGATACTGCTTAGATCTATTAAGTGATCATTACCTTAATATCAGTATGTATTTTAAAATTTTAGCTTGATTGTCAGAACTTGGAAAAGTTAAAAAATCCTTTCATTATTTCTGGAAATAGAGTATTTGCAAACTAAATTCAATAAACAAGATTTTAAGTTGAGTCTTTAACATAGAAGAGTATTGAGACTCTTTGTTAGTTACAGTTTAATATATGGGATGGAGAGTCTGGAGATTCTTTTTTTGGTAATGTTTTTAATGTTTATTTTTTGAGAGAGAGACAGAGTGTGAGGTGGGAATGGGCAGAGAGAGAGAGGGAGACAGAATTTGAAGCAGGCTCTAGGCTCTGAGCTGTCAGCATAGGGCCCGACATGGGGCTCAAACCCATAGACAAGAAGATTCTGACCTCTGCCGAAGTTGGAGAAGTTAATTCACCTTTTTTAACAGTTTATTTCTTTTTGAGAGCTAGAGCCCAAGCTGGGGAGGGGCGGTGGGGCGGTGGGCAGAGGATCTGAAGTGGGTTCTGTGCTGACAGCAGTGAGCCTGATGCAGGGCATGACCTGAGCCAAAGTCGGGTGCTCAACCTACTGAACCACCCAGGTGCCTCTTAATTCATTTTTTTTTTTTTTTAACACTTGAGAGAGTTGAGGCTCTAAGATAAAATTCATTTACTTACTATCTCACAGTCTTTGCTTTCTTTTAAAACAGGGCCGTGTATGGGCGCTGCATTTCATACACGTTTGTCATTTCATACACGTTTGTCATTTGCTGAGACTTTCCCTTTTCTGATTGAGTAAATGAAAATGGAAGCCTTTTCTGTAATTTTAATCAACATACCGTGGTTTCTTTTGGATTAGTGTATTAGTTTAAGAGAAGTCAAGCTGGCTTTCATAATTTTGTCCTCAGGGAGTGCCTCCAAAGTTAAAAAAAACTCATAAAACCCAAAAACCCCTGAAGGTATTTTATAGCCTAGAGCCATGACGAATATTCCCAAGTTGTCTTTTTTCACTCAATTTTAAATGCTAAATTTGGTGTATCTTGTTTTATAAATAGCTTTTTAACGTTCTGCTTATTGCTCAACTTTTTTGATATTTTGTGGTAGTTCTCAGTCTACATATGCTGTGGGAGTATTTTGTGTAGTTGTAAAAAGCAAAAATTTGAGCAAAATGTGTGTTAAATAAATTTTTCTAAGTTTGCTCGTTTAAATATTGTATGTCCTAGTCCTAGGAAGGGACTGCTTAGTTAGAAACTCATTGCAGTCCAAATTCTAGGTCATGGAAACAAGGGACTATAGGTTGCAGTACAAATACATATTTATCACGTGGTATGTGTAGTACCGACTTTGGAGCCAGAATGCCTGGGTTCACACCCTGGCTTTGCCACTTAGTAGCTTTGTGACTTTGGGCAAGTTACTTGACTTCTCTGTTCCTGTTTGCAATCTTTAAAATTGGAAAATTTTACAATAATAGTACCTGTTTGATAGGGTTCTGAGGATTAAATTAGTTTATACATACAGTGTTTAGAACGTGTTTAGCATGCAAAATTTAGCTATTTTCTTAGTTGGACAAGGCTGATGCTGGAAATACTGTGAAATAGAGTTGGCCTAGACGTCCATCCATTTCTAATAATCAGGTAAGCAGTGCTGTCACCTTGCTGCTGTCATTGACATTTCTTCCCAGGTTGCCCTTTCTAAACCTTTGCCTACTTGTTCTCCTTGTCTCTGCAACGTAAGCCCCAAGTTACAAAATCTCTATCCTATTTTCCTATTATTCATTACACCAGGAATCATGGGAAAAATGATCAGATTGAATGACTTTACATTTACTAGTAAATAACATTTGTAAATAACTTGGGGTTTATACAATAAGTGGTGTTGGTTTTGTTTTTTGGAAGATTGTTTTTTTTTTTTTTTTTTTTAAGTAATCTCTACATCCATCTTGGGGTTTGAACTCACAACCTTGAAATCAAGAGTCATGAGCCCTACTGCCTGAGCCAGCCAGGTGCCCCAAATAAATTAAGGGTTTGAATTAAAATAACTTCAGTGGAATGGAAGTTAATGAAAACAACAGAAATTTGGGCAGAGTTGAAGTATTGGAAATAAGATATTTTTGGACAAGATGGTGGCTCTGAGTTTGTTTTGCCTTGGAGTATTTCATCCATTTGGTTCTCCCTGCTTTTCACATCTTTTTCTTTCTTTTACATAGAACTCCTTGATCATCTAAAAGTTCCAAGTTTGTACCCCTTTTTCCTGGAGCACACAAACAACATCCAGAGTGTTTGACAAAAAGATGGCCCTTTTGTTGGGCCGGGTGTAGTCTGTTTGGTATGAACAGAGAATAGATAGGATAGTGAAAGAAATCAAATTCTTTTTAAAAAAAATGTTTTATTTTGAAAGGGGATGGAAAGAGAGCATGTGCACATGGCTGTGTGTGAGTGGGGAAGGACCAGAGAGAGGGGGAGAGAGATAATCCCAAGCAGGCTCTGTGTTACCGTCAGTGCAGCGCCTGATTTGGGGCTCAATCCCATGAACTGTGAGATTATGATCTGAGTCAAAATCAACAGTTGGATGCTTAATTGATTAAGCCACCCAGGTGCTTGGAAAGAAGTCAACTTCTGAATGAGGTAGCATCTTTGTAGTTCTTGCAAAAGGTGTTCTTTTTTAAATGCTGGGTTGATCTGCATTTTTGGAGATAATCACCCCACTTCCATACATATTTAAGAAAACCATAGTCATGTTTCAGTTAATTAGATTGCAGATGCCCTGAGCACTGTAGACCTTTGGTAACTTGTCATAGGTGATGTTAAATTTGTTTGGGATTATTATGTGGGGTACATGATTGACCTGTGAAATCTCTGCTCAAGATACATATTCATGTATGTGTGTGTGTGTGTGTGTGTGTGTATGTATGTATGTATATATATGTTGTGTACTACTTTTGTTAGTCTATAACTGAAGAGTATAGAGGAGGTTGACAAGATCCCAAAAAACTCCAGTACATACTTAAAGAGGTAGAATTCCTCTTGAATAGAGAGTAGATTAAAAGAAAGCATTACTTCTTGCAAGGTTTTTTCACACAGTATAAATTCATTTTGTGTCTGTGGATCTTATATTCTAATCAGTGGATTGCTAACTGGTTTGGAAGAAAAACTATTAGAATTGTAGCTTTTATTACGGTTTTTCCTAATTATGCAGTGTTCATATATTAAAATGTAAACTTTATATTCTTTGTTTTATTTCAGGGACTTCGGTTTGGTTGGAATGAAGTTAGATATACTAGTCATATGGGTAATTGGCTCATTTAATCAGGCACAATGCCAGTAAGACCAAGGTCATCATGGCAGGTGCTATTTAAACTGTTATTTTTACTCAATTGACTCTCTCCAGCTTGTCCACAAATTCTTGGGAAGGGACCTTAGCAAGTATGTTTAATTTAAATCTACTCATTAGATACAAATGACAGATAATCATGATCTCTGTATAGGAGGAAGGTCACATATTTGATATCTTATTCTTTGTTTTAATTTTAGTTTTTTAATTTACATCCAAGTTAGTTAGCGTAGAGTGCAACAACGATTTCAGGAGTAGATGCCTTAATGCTCCCCACCCATGTAGCCCCTCCCCCTCCCACAGCCCCTCCAGCAACCCTCTGTTTGTTCTCCATATTTAAGAGTCTCTTATGTTTTGTCCCCCTCCCTGTTTTTATATTGTTTTTGCTTCTCTTCCCTTAGGGTCATCTGTGTTGTATCTTAAAGTCTTCATATGACTGAAGTCTTGATATTTGTCTTTCTCTGACTAATTTTGCTTATTATGATACCCTCTAGTTCCATCCATGTAGTTGCAAATGGCAAGATTTCATTCTTTTTGATTGCAGAGTAATACTCCGTTATTTATATATATCACCTCTTTTTTATCCATTCATCCACCAATGAACATTTGGGTTCTTTCTATACTTTGTCTGTTGTCGATAGCGCTGCTATAAACATTGGGGTGCATGTGCCCCTTTGAAACAGCACACCTGTGTCCCTTGGATAGCTACCTAGTAGTGCAGTTGCTGGGTTGTAGGGTAGTTCTATTTTTAGTTTTTTGAGGAACCTCCATACTGTTTTCCAGAGTGGCTTCACCAGTTTGCATTCCCACCAGCAGTGCAAAAGAGATCCTGTTTCTCTGCATCCTCGCCGACACCTGTTGTTGCCTGACTTGTTAATTTTGGCCATTCTGACAGGTGTGAGGTGGTATCTCATTGTGGTTTTGATTTGTAATTCCCTGATGATGAGTGATGTTGAGCATTTTTTCATGTGTTGGTTGGCCATTCAGATGTCTTCTTTGGAAAAGTGTCTGTTCATGTCTTTTGCCCATTTCTTCACTGGATTATTTGTTGAGGTCTTATTCTTGATTATTGTCTTAAAGTTTCACATACACTTAGTACTTTCAGAGGGTACTTAATGATTGCAAAAGTTCTTGTACTTGTGTCCTTTACATTGCAGGACTTGAATAGTTAACCAGCTCACGAGTGCCTATGGTTTGACCACCTAGTTGTTAGTGGTGGACACTGTCTACTGAATTCTTGCCACAGGAGTGGATCCCATCCTGTAGAATTTCTCCTTTTTGCCTGAAATTGCTCTAAGCTCCCCTCCTGTCTTTTTTCAGGACCCTTAGTGCGGGCTGTTCTGTGGGTTTTATAAACACAAGTCTCGTCCACATTCCACGCCACTTGATGTCCTGACCCACAGTTTCTGCGAGCTTGGCTATCTGGTTGAAAACTGAGGGAAGGAAATAATACAGAGAACACACATTCAAATCAGTATTCCCGAAACTAGCCTCAAGAGGAAATACAGTAAGTGCCAAATGCCAGTAGAAGTGTGGTTGCTTGGAGTGTACGTGAAGTGATTTGGAGAAAAACCCATGAGAGAGAGGAGACTTGAACATTGCTTTAAAGAAGGAGCAGGATTTGCTGCAAGTTGCTTGTGTGTATGTGTTTTGCTTGTGTTTCTAAGGTAGAGCCTTGGTGTATGGTTTGGGTTTGGGGGCGGGTCGGATACATACATGTGGCTGGGTACGTGTGATTTGTGTATGTTTGAGAATGAGTCTGTGACGTGGGTTGTGTGTATGGTGGGAAGGAGTTGGGAATTTACACTGTTGCAGAAGAGCTTCTGAAAGAGGGCCTTGCTATTAGGAGGATTTTTCTGGAAACAGTAAGCTGGGTGGATTTAGAAAGACAAGGCGCTTAGGAAGCTATTATAGTAGTTCTGACCTGATCTGAGAAGGGTTGATGGCAGTGGGAATGGGGAAGAAAGCAACTGATTGGACAGAGACCACTAGTGAGAATCTGGGGGGGGGGGGGGGGGGGGGGCGGGGAAGGCAGAATTCAGGAGGATTCTGTTTCTGTGCTGGGTGCAGAGGTCTCCATGGTGTCCTTAATGGATAGTGGGGAAGTCTGGGTTAGGAGTTTGCTGTTAAAGGAAGATAAGAGGTTTAATGTAGGATGTGATAAGCTGTTGGAGCCTGAAATGAGGTCATATTTGTGGATAGAGGGTTCACCATGTCCTCAGTCTTCAAGATCTCGCTCAAGGCCAGTTTTCTCTGTTGTGAGGAGAGACAGTGATGAGAGAGAGGTGGAGGAGAAAAGAGGGTATGACTGTGTGGGAGTTTTGGCTTAAGAGTTAAGTACTACTTCTTATTTATAAATACTACAGTTCAGGATTACCATGTGATGCTGTAGCATACTAAAAATTCAGCATGCTTGGAATATCCTGCTAGTTTTAACTTTCATCTATATTCCCTAAGATGCTTTCTGAGCCTTTGTAAATTTGCACAGTTATGTGTTAATTAGTATTTATATCAACAGTTTTTACTGATGAGTTAGTATTTTATTACTAGATACAGACTTTAAAGCTAATACAAACCCTTAAAGACTGCTATTAGTCCTTTGTTTGAATGACTTTTCATTTGGAAATAACTGGCAGCTGAGCTTCTGTGTTTTTTAAGGAGTTTGTGCTTGATGATTTTTTCACTCCTCCAGTTTTCTTTCATAGGGTTTTAATGGGTAGTTGGGAGAATTTGTAGGGTGGCTGCAGTTTTGAGGAATTGACTTTCGTATAGATATGTTTTTTTCTAGCGTTTGGTGATGCTTCACAATTCATTATTAAGCATGACAGTATAAAAAATGTTCAATTGCTAGCCTCTCCTTTTCCCTGGTCGTTAATTCATATACCTGTAGTACTTGTGCTTTTATTATTATTTGAAATGGGAAGTATCTAATCGAAAGCAGCTCGCAATTAAGGACTAGAAAATGTTCCATATACTTGAAGACATTATTCCGTCTGTCTTTAGATAGAGCTTGATGCACAAATGGATTCTTGGATGTTTTGGTCCATAAGATGGGTGTTGCATTCAAACCAAGGAATATTTGTTTCAAGAGTAGCAGTTATGTCTGATTCTCCTTCAAAAGGGTCCAGATTGTACAGATTTTATTTTTGCTTTTTATTGTACCAATTAATTGAAGTATGATTCATTGGCTAGAATGTGAAAATCTGTGTTACATGTAAAATTAGACTTGTAAATTAAATTTACTTGAGTATATGACTATATGGTAACTAAAAGATATTTAGTAACAGTTTTGTTTTGCTGTACAATATTAACTCTCACAGCTGGTTGCTATTAAAAATAATTTTATGGGTATTTTTGGGGATTTTTCTTGCCTGGAAGAAAAAGTGTACTCAGTGTTAGTTTCATCTCAGTAATGCAAAATCATAGTTGAGCTGATGTTATCTTTACTCTTCCGTTCCATTTGCTGATTACAACAGGTACAAATGGCTGTCTCAGATAATCCTCTCCATTGAGGATTTTAGTTTTCAGTTACTCAAAACCAGTATTTCGGGACACCTGGGTGGCTCAGTCGGTTGAGTGTCCTGCTTTGGCTCAGGTCATGATCTCGTTCGTGAGTTCGAGTCCCGCACCTGGCTCTGTGCTGACAGCTCCGAACCTCTGGAGAACCTCTGGAGTGTGCTTCACATTGTCTCCCTCTCTCTCTGCCCCTCCCCCACTCACACTCTGTGTCTGTCTCTCTCTCAGAAACAAAAACCAAAAAACATTAAAAACAGTATTTTTATTTAGACTACAAAGTCTGAATTTCCCATAGAGGTAAAACTGTATACGTCGATTTCTAATATATATTGTATATTATTTAATATAAGGCCCTTAGCTTAAGACTTTCTGGCATGGTTTTGGGATTGCTTAGTTACCTGAGTTTTTGAAGAGGGAGGTTGTTTACCAGGCATATGTGTAATTATTTTTATGGCATTTTTAAATTTGTTTTTTGTCAGACATGGGCATTTAAATGTCACGGTGGCACATTATTAGTCTTGTGGAAAGTTGCTAAGATAATGTAAGGTCACAAGCTGTTTAGTTGAGCCTGCAAACATAGAAGACAGACTTACCAAAGCAAGCATGAAATTTTGAATGTGAATATTTTATTTTTAAATGTTTATTTTTGAGAGAGTGTAAGTGGTGGAGGGGCAGAGAAGCAGGGGTGGGGGTGGGTGGGTGCAGAGGATCCAAAGTGGGCCCCTTGCTGACAGCAGAGAGCCCAATGCAGGGCTCAAACTCCTGAACTGTGAGATCATGACCCGTGATGAAGTTGGACACTTAACCCACTGAGCCACCCAGGTGCCCCAGAATGTGAATATTTTAAATAAACTACTGAAATTACTTATGGTAGCCCTGGATATATATTTATTGTGTCGTTTGTTTGTCATGGTAAGTTTTCTCCTTGATCATTTTATTTTCGAATGGAATGAGCAAATTATTTATATTTCATTCCTGAGAAACTAAAGAAACTGACTAATGAATATGAAAATTGCCATTAAATTTGATTGTCCATTTTATGGATGTTCATATGATTGTAGTTCCTTGCTCTTCAACACACTTTTGGACTGGTGTTAGATTGTTGTAATCAGTGTGTACAAATTAAATTTCAAAATCTAAGCAGTACAAATAGCCTGGATTAGGAAAAAAATATAGTTGTTTAAGGAGAAAAAGACTTCAAAGCTAAATATAAGCAATATTTGTTTTTTGCTTTTTCTAATTTACATGTTTATACCGCCTTTCTCTCTTAAATAATAACAAGCAATATGGGTGTGAACTGGCTTAGCACTACCAAGTTAATATTAACGATAACATTAGTGCACATACATGCACACTTAAGAGTTTGGAGAAAAATGTTTGGAGAAAAATATCTTTCCCATGTCTGATTTCACTGACTAGCTCAATCAGTTAACTAATCTTATTGCTGTGTTAAACTGAAATGGTAAATATGGTTGTCCATTATTAAAAAAAATGAGTAGGATTAAAATAAAGGCTTTAAAAAATACTTCTGGATAAAGCAGTAGGCTGCAAGTGAGACTCAGTTTTGGTTTCCTTTACAGGACTAGCTTTTCACAGTCAGACAGAACTACTTAGCACACTTTGCCAGCGCCTCCTGAGGAAGTCAGAATCTGAGCCAGCATGAAGACTGAATCTTGTCTTTGGTCTGATTTATAAACCGTACTTTTATTCTAACCATGTACGAGGTGGAGGTTATAGCATGGAAACTAAAACCTTAGTAAGTGTGACTTTTGTTTTAGCTTTTAAGTAATAGGCTTTCTTGTCGTGAATTTGTCCTCTTAACCAAGTTCATGCTATAAATGCGGTGAGGACTTGGCAAACAGAGACACAATACTACACTTATAAAGTGAAAGATGTAGCTTTTCAGGTCAGGAAAAATCCCCAAGAAAGGGAGGCAAAAGTTTCTATTAACTCTGCATAGGACTTTCACTTTTCTGATTAAAAATAGGGGGCAGATGATAATTAGTTGAGGAGGGATTTAAGAAAATGGAGAGTGTCTTTAGTAGCCATTGTCTACATTCAAGACATTTAAGAAAATCATTATTAAATTTGCTGTGTAAGTTATTTCATTTATAAATTAGTTGGCATTAAATCATGAAGTCTACATTTTAATGTGTTGGTAAGCCCAGTGTAGACTCCTAAGAACTCCTTAAATACTCAATATATTTTAAATATGAATTGAAGTTTGAGTGTATCTTAAATATCGACTATTTTGAGCAGGACTATTCAGAATTCTGTCGGAGTAAGCACGCCACTGGCAGTTGTCTCAGGGACGTCCCGTCGATTTTATTGTCCCAGTAGATGATGTACAGTTTTTATTTTTTTGTGCTCCAGACAGAACTAGATTTTGAGGATGGAGGCTATCAAGGGACTTGATCTGTACTTCACAGTGTCATTTTCTGATTGTAAGGATTACTCCTCAACATTTTGTGCTTGTGCTTATTAAGAGCAGTGGATAAATAACACTTTTAAGCTGCTTTTCCTCAGCAAAAAATGATAGAATTTGTTTGATCTTCTGAATTCTTCCAGTGAATCAGACATTAGGATACTGTACATAGGTAGCATAAGAATCCAGGTCGTTCATAATCTGAGAATGGTTATGCGTTTAAGTTACTTGGTTGGTGTTCTCTCCCTACTCTTTGAATCTTAATTGTTGCCTTTCTAAAGTGATGGTGATGACCTGGCTTGAACTTTTCTCTTCGTGGCTTCTCTGTTTCAGCTTGCTTCCCTCTTAAAAACGAACCTCCCTTTACTTTCTGCTTATCTCTTTTGCATTCTAAAGTACAATTTCACTACATCCCGAGGTCTCAGATTTCTCTTTGGAGACTTCTCTCTGGTGTCTCTAATGGAAATTAGGAAAATAAGGGTAAGGGATAGTTCAGTATTAAATGTGACACGCCTCTTTTGAGAAATTTATATTTTATAAGTTGAAGGGTACTTTTGGGGCACATTTTCAGAGCTGGAATTATGTAGTTACTGTTTTAATAACCATGTCCTAATTATTTATAGCTTCCTGCCTGACATAACTCACTTCAAGAAGAGCACAATGTCAGAACGTGGAATTAAGTGGGCTTGTGAATACTGTACGTATGAAAACTGGCCGTCTGCCATCAAGTGTACTATGTGTCGTGCCCAGAGACCAAGTGGAACAATTATCACAGAAGATCCATTTAAAAGTGGCTCAAGTGATGTTGGTAGAGATTGGGATCCTTCCAGCACTGAAGGAGGAAGTAGTCCTTTGATATGTCCAGACTCTAGTGCAAGACCAAGGGTTAAGTCTTCGTACAGCATGGAAAATGCAAATAAATGGTCGTGCCACATGTGCACGTATTTGAACTGGCCGAGAGCAATCAGTTGTACCCAGTGCTTGTCGCAGCGCAGGACCAGGAGTCCCACAGAGTCTCCTCAATCCTCAGGATCTGGCTCCAGACCAGTTGCTTTTTCTGTTGATCCTTGCGAGGAATACAATGATAGAAATAAACCGAACACAAGGACCCAGCATTGGACTTGTTCTATTTGCACATATGAAAACTGGGCCAAGGCTAAAAAATGTGTCGTTTGTGATCATCCCAGACCTAATAATATTGAAGCAATAGAGTTGGCAGAGACTGATGAGGCTTCTTCAATAATAAATGAGCAAGACCGAGCCCGATGGAGGGGAAGCTGCAGCAGTGGTAACAGCCAAAGAAGATCACCTCCCACTACGAAACGGGACTCTGAGATGAAAATGGATTTTCAGAGGATTGAATTGGCTGGTGCTGTTGGCAGCAAGGAGGAACTCGAAGTGGACTTCAAAAAACTAAAACAAATTAAAAACAGGATGAAAAAGACCGATTGGCTATTCCTCAATGCTTGTGTGGGTGAGTTTCTGTATTTTTTGAATGGGATAGGAAAATGACATGAAAGATAGAAGTAGGGTCATTATTATTTAGCATTTTGCTCATTCAGCATGATCGCTATACTCCCAGCATGCACGCATGGGAGTCTCTGTATTTGTGATCTTGTTACAACTTTGTCCTAAATTGCCTCCATTTCACTGAGTGTTTTCCCATCATTACGGAGAAAAACTTTTAAGTTAAAGCAGAGTTTTTATACGTGAGTAGAAAAAAAAAATACACCTGGAGTTTAAAACTGTTCCTCTGTTTATTGTAACAAGATGTGACTGAGGAACGCGGCTGCTGCTTCAATGTTTGTAAACAGTGTGGGCATCTTGTGATGATGGAAGCTTTAGTCAGACGTTAAAAATATCACAAAAATGTGACTCCAAGAAGTTGAGCAAACGTAGTATCAACCTGGAAAATACTGATGTTAATTTTACATGGATGTCATGTAGTGAATATTTGCAAATTTTATGAAACCGATTTCATTTAGCTAGCTGAATTCCACAGTTCACGTTATGATTTGTGTGTTTTGTGGTTTTAGTGCTTCCTAAGGAAATTCTGTCCTGGTCCCAGTTACTGGCCCAGACCTGTTAAAGGATCAAGACATGATGTGAGAGCAGGGTTTTTCTCTGGTTCCTAACCTTGTGAGTTAAATACTTGTGATGTAATTCACAAAAGCAGTTACTGGATTCTCTGCACTTTTCCTTTTTGAGTAGGTTAGCTGTTGGAATTTTATGATTTAAATTATTTGGATGGGGTGCTTGCTTTGACATTGTGTTTTGCAAAGAAAATTTTTGTAAAGGATAAATTGAGCGACAACTCAAGTTAAATACTGCGTGGAACAATACTTAAGCCTTAAACATAGCTTAGCTGTATATATATATTTTTCCCCAGTACCAATTTCTTTTGTTTATCCCTCTGAACATAGAAGACATAACTATATGAACCTGCAAGTCCTAAGAGTAGATTTCAAGAAATCTTGAGTTCAGGGCAAAACTAATGTCCCAGAAGATGAGTCCTTCTGAACACCCAAACATAGTAGGCACTTAGTATGTCTTAGCTCCAGTTTTCTCCTATTTTGAGGACTAGGGATGAGAGTCCACTGAGCCATTTTAGGCTTTCTGTGTGGTCGCATCTCATCCCATGGATTTTTTTTCCCCTCCTCAAATTGGGGTACCGTAAATGGCATTCCTCTCCTCCCCTCCCCCCTCCTCTCCTTTCTTTCTTCTTTTCTCTTCTTTTTAAACAGGAGATACACAAGGGTTTTATTTATTTACTCTATTGAGGTCAAAATCCTATAACCTAAAATTCACCATTTTGAAAGTGAACAATCTGTGGCATTTAGTGCGTTCACAGTGTTGTACACCCACCACCTGTCTGGTTCTGAAACATTTTCATCATCTCATAAGGAAACCCTGGACCCCTTAAGCTGTTACTTCACATCCCCTCCTCCTCCTCCAAGTCCCTGGCAATCATCATCTGCTTTCTGTCTCTGGATTTACCTGTTCTGGATATTCCATATAATTGGAAATTTATGTGACCTTTTGTATAGAGTTGTGATTGTCTTTAAATGACCTGCATGTCTTTTGGAACACTCTTAAAATCATTTTTGGCAGGTGGTAGTATGCTATGCATGCATTTATTACAGGGTCATGTTATAGTTCACATACGTTTATAGATGGAACTGAGGTGCATTGTGACGATTTATTAACCTCTTTTGGGGTCATAGAATCCTTCAGAAGTCAGAGGTTCATAGGTTTTTCAAGTTAGTGGATCTCAGGATAAGAATTTCTGGTTTGGAATATTTTCTCTTGAAACACATAAATTAGACCAATCGATGTGGCTATTACTTCTTGCCTTTAGGACTACTCTGTCTCTTTTTGATACTGCCTTTTATTTCTTTCCACATAATCCTTATTTCTTTTGAGATAACCATCCTTGTACCTCTTCACATTTCAATAGCTGTGAGTTCATTTTAAAGGTGGAACAAAAACTCCTGCCAGCAGGAAAGTACTGTTTATTTGTTCTTATTTCATTTACAAAACAGTTTCTTTTTCAGTAAGACCCTGTTCCCACCCACTGTAGAGTTTTTAGCTTCTTAGGACCAATTATTGATTGTATTTGGTTCTTGGTAATGTGCACTCTGTCTTTCCTATCAACAAATATTTTTGTTCACCGTACAGTATGGTTCTGAACTGTTGTACTAAAAATTATGACCCTGTCTTTATTGAGTAGTTTTATCCTGATTGGTAAACATCACCGAAATATGCTTAAAAATTTTTTTAGTTTACATTGTGTTGGGTTAATTAACAGAAGTCCACATGTACTGAAAATTAATCTTTACTTCCCGTTTTCTACCTGCCTTATGTTCTTCAGATTTCATCACGTATGGTGTATAATGGCTTGTCCATGTTAGGCATTTAAGAAAATCATCTCTGTGCTCCCTGTGGCAGCACCTATAGTGAAACCTTCATCTCCAAGGGATACACACTTGAGTACAGAATGCTTATTACTGTGTATAACATTTATACTAAGTATAAAATGTGAGACCTTCCCTTTTGAAATTAGAAAAAGTCTCAACCTCTGGCCCGTTTTGTAGCTGGTTGCAATAGGAATGAGGAAGATTTAGTTGATAAGAAGGCAAAAGTAGACTGAAGTGCCAGCAGTATTGAGCAAGTTTCTTTTCTACATGACTGTTGAGTGTAAGTTTCACATAAATCATTATTATCATCTTACCTGGTGAGAGGACATTGGGTTCAGCAGTGCCAAACAAAACCTGCCATCAGTAAAAGTGGAATCTGCTGGTGGAAACCGGGATGGTAAGAGCAGAGGTGTGAATTTAAATATGCAGTTGTCTCTGGAATGTCTGCAGTTTGGTGCCAGGTATTTTCTGTGAGGTCATGTAGGTGCTAATCATAGACTGCTTTTCCCACTGGATAGATAATGTCCCTTGAGAACAGGGGAGCACTGCCTAACACCGTTTTAGTTCTGTTGTGTTGAATTGGTTGCCCTTTAGAAGAGTATTTAAATTTGTGACTCAAGTTGATCCCTTGAAAAGATATAGGATCACATAAGAATCCCAAATTAAATCTGTGTGATAACTTTTTGTATTTCTGAATCCTAGACTCGTATATCCAGCTGTGTATATACCACATCTTCTCTTGAATAACTAATATTTCAAATTTCTTTACAGCTCAGCAAAGCTGAAACTGAACTAGTCACTCTTTTAAATGTATTCTTTAGTAGTTCTCCTCTCCCCTTTTTATAAGGGGCACTTTTATTGTATTAAAAAAAATTTTTTTTTTTTACATTTACTTATTTTTGAGAGACAGAGCATGAGCAGAGGACATCAGAGAGAGAGACAGAGACAGATAGACAGAATCTGAAGTAGGCTCCAGGCTCTGAGCTGTCAGCCCAGAGACTGACATGGGGCTCAAACTCATGAATCGTGAGATCATGACCTGAGCTGAAGTTGGATGCTTAACTGACTGAGCCACCCAGGCACCCCTAAAAGGGGGACTCTTAAAAGGGGCACTAGTAAGAGAGGGACAGAGAGAGAGAGAGAGAGAGAGAGAATCCCAAGCAGAGCTCTCCTCTGTCAGCTCAGAGCGCCTGATGATGAACTGCAAGATCATGGCCTGGGCTGGAATCAAGAGTGAGCCACCCAGTCCCCCTCTCCCTTGATGGCATGTCTGTCATTCCACTGGTTGTGCCAAAAGCCTCCGCCATTTTTTCTTCTCTTCTTTTTCTCTTACTCCTTTCCTTCTTGTCAGAAAATCTTACTGGCTCTACCTTTGAAATATATGTAGAATCTGACCACTTCTCACTGCCCTTTGTCCAAACCATGATCCTTGCCCTCTTTTACAAACTATTCTCCACATAGGAGCTTCTCTTTTAAATCTCTGCTCAGTGCTCCTCAGTGATTGCCTGCCTTGCTCATAGTAAAAGTCAGAGCCTGTAGGCCGCCCTCAGCTGTGTCCTGCACCCTTCTCCCCCCCACCCCCCCATACATTGTTTCCCTCCTACCCTTCTATTGCTCTCAATTTCACTTTAGCGCATCTGGCCACCGTTCTTCTCTACAGATGAGCCTCAAGCCTTTGCAGGTGCTGTTTCCCTGGCCTGGATTGTACATTCTCTAGATTGCAGGGTTAGTGAATTTAGTCACATGTGATCTTTTCTCATTTGTTACCTTCTTAGTGAGGCCTCCCTGTGTTTAAAATTTCAGCCCTGTCCTCACTCCCTTTCCCCAGCTTTAATTTTCTTAACAGTTGTCACTTTCCAATATTCTTAGTCACTTTATTGTTTGTCTCTTTCTTCCTGTTCACTGCATATCCTGGTACCTAAAATAGTGCCTGGGATGTAGGAGGCATTCAGGTATTTGTTAAATCTGTGAACAAACCCTTCTGGAAACTGGGATCTGGACAGATACTTTATGCTCCTTTCTTTTCTGAATTTTAGATTTTTTTTTGCTTTCTTCCTAGCTTTCTCTCTCTCTCTCTTTTTTTTTTTTTTTTTTACTTTACAGACTACCCCTGGGGCTTGACCCTGTGGGAGCAAACTGGACTTTCTCCCTGTCAGAAAAAGATAGGAAGTTGGTATAATAGAGTCTTCCTGTAAGAGGAGGCCTCAATTTGTCAGTGGACAGTCTATGGATATGAAAACCCTGAAGTCGTTTCACTGATGAATATTTGACAATTTGATGAATGAATGATATAAAGAAAAAATCATGTTTGCTATACCTCAAGTCCTAAATCAAATACAATTTTTATTTGAATATTTTATATTCAGTTGTAATTTGATCTGTTGTTTCTATCTGACATTTTGTCCCATGTGTTAAACAACAGATGCATCTTTCTTATGTTTAGCTTTCCAGTGACCCTGCTAATGAAGATGGGAAGGATTTGAGATTGGGGTGGGAGGGTGTTGAAGGTGTAGGGGAAGAATAATCAAGCTTGTTTAACAAGTACATGTTGAAACTG